TCAGCCAAGCTAGTGATCATCCAAAAGGACCAAGGATGGCTACGTTGTGCATGATTAGTATCTCTAGAGCATGATATCCTACTAAAACTGGCCGCACGTGTTGAGATCATGCGGTTTTGATTGGATGAAGACAATGCTTTTCGCGAGTTGACTTAGTATCCACTGCACAGGTTAAATCGCTACGGTTTGAACTGGGCGACATGCACATTTCAGGCAAGCAATCACTCGCTCCCTCACTACGTACTTGATGGGGGAGGAGGGGCTCTGCTTCTTTAATCTAATCGTGGGGTTTCGGCCCCCAAACGGCGGTGACCCACTCTTGACAGGCTTCCAAAAGTTCCATTGGAAGTCTTCGATGGCGGCCTCCTTTCAGCCGTGATCTTGCACCCGAGCACCCCCATGCTACGATCATCCTCGTACTATGGAAAAGTATACATGCGTACCGGTATAACTGACAAAGCACAACTCTCGCACTTTCATTGATGACCTCAACTCATTATTGAACCAGCTCGATGATGACCTATGATTACCTAAAAGCGCCCCGTTATCGAGTTGGTTATCCTATCCACGGACGGTTACGCTATGTTCTTCTCTATGAAGAACTCTGTTTCTATGCCTACATACGGAGTAGTGTTTCAATGGCGGTTGAGGTCTTTCTCCAGCGGTCCCCAACGATTACCGACATGGGCTCAATCCCATTCCTCCGCATGAGAGCATCCATGCATAAGACTACTAGCTATTACTCCTCTCATCCCAGGTTGAGCTAGGGCTTGGGCCTACTGAAGCATACTCACTCCGCGGTGCATTGGGACGAGGATTCAACTTGCTTGCTTCTGCTTGCTACATCTAACTCCCGTAGTTTGACTGCGAACATCTACACCTCAACGAGAACGAATGGTCGGTGCACCATCACAATGGACATGACATCATGCAGTCATGTTATGGTGCATAATCTGGCACCGCACTTGATACGACGATGCCCTCTCGAGGCTGACCATGAGGAAAGTATGTCTACTCAACAAACAGGCAAGAACCCAGGTAAGACTCTCGAAGACTCAACCAGCATACTTACTTGATGCTGTCACAGAATGGAAGCTTGTCTCTGGAAATTAGCGTACCGCAGATGTATGAAATACATCGAATGGTATGAAACAGCATGTAGCGATTTTTACTGGTACTGTATGTTTCCCGAGATACCAGCTGCTGTCAACGGCCGTATAACCCTACAGTCCCACGGAGAAGGCTACCAGTGGATCTCAATCTCGTCTTGCAATTTGTCTCCAATATCGCTTGACCTCTTTGTTTCCCTCGTTGGCTCTTATTTTTTGATTCTTCTTTGTGACAGAGCCGAGTTGTTGAAGGTAGTGATGACGTATGCGAGATTCTGTGACAGAAAGAAGGCAGGTGGATCAACATGGTATTGCCCACATACGTAGTAACTGAGCGACACTTAACTAATCGTCAGACCTTCTATCAAGTGCCCTCCCTAATATAATGACATGAGTAGGTATGCTGATAGAGGAGGAAAAGATAAGTGCTGGCTCGGAATGACCGAGATTTCCTTTGTCCAGTTCAAGCCTCGCCGAGCGTCATCCCAACTGGATGGAATGTTGCGCCTCCTGGACTGGGGGCCTTTTCTTTCGTCATCCTGGTAATCGCGTACTGTACTGTACAGAAGTTACCACGAGCACGGGTTGTGAAAATTTACCATCCTGTCTGTCTATTCGTTAAGTTACACCGCGTTTTTGTTCTTGTCAATCTCGGTTTGACTTTGGCGATAGGAGCATTTGCCGTACCTTATTTGCTCTTCCATACTGTGTAGTCAGAAACCCCTCCATTGCTACTCAGACATACAGGACATGCAGGCATGATCGGCTTGAACTATCGTCGCCTTATATGAATAGTATGGAGTTGTATCATTAGTGGGGTGAAAGTCAATGAACGCTTCTACGTGTAAAAGTAAAAGAACCGTGTACCGTGCCAGTGCGTGCGTGTCCTTTGAGCACTCAATCATCCATCGAGCGACAGAGAGATAAGCACGCATGCACTACCGCAGAATTGTGCGCGTGCCTTAGGCAAAGGCAAAAGGCAAAGGCAAAAGGCAAAAGGAAGAAGCCGGCAATTCAGCTTGGGCCTCGTTCAGCCCGGGATTCTTCGATGCGTCTTCGATGCTTCAACCTTCTTCCATCCTCGCCCATATCATAACCTAACCGCACGGAGCATGCTAGGTTATGCTGCGGGGTACTATCATTCGGCGAATACCTTCCCTAGTCTTGATTCCAACAAGGCCGTCATCGAGCTTTGATGCGCCGGCCGACGAATGTATTGTGGCTTGCTGGGGAAGTCGAATCGGTCTCCCTCGCGCCATGCAAGCAAGCAAACATCCTCACCCCCTTTCTCCCCTCGGCGCATGTCAGTTACGAGAGATTTCTGCGGTCGCCATGAAATGACGCGGGGGCTTCGCCATCTTCCTCGGCCTCCCCTGTCTCGAGGGAAAGAGGGCCCATCCATGCTGACTACCCTTGCTGGGGTCGGACCTCGTTTGGACGAGACGAGCAGGTAGACAGACTCGCTACCACGAATTCTCGGGTGGATACTACGTACAACTCCACGCCTGATCGATCGCGAATAGGGACCGTGACACCATCGGGTTGCCCTACGGCCTGACACAAGTCAAGGAGACACTGGTTCTGAGACATTGCGACTTGGCGCAGCTCTTTTCTAAATCGGTTTTCTTCCATCAATGAACAAATGCTGACTGGTTTCTCGGTTATTTAGTTTTGCTTGAGGGTGACTACCCTGGCCTTGTCCTGAATACTACCACATACCCCAGACAGCACAGGGCTGGCTGAAGGCGGTGGCAACTCATTGTTGTGCTGTCCACAACAATAATGTATTCTGATCTGGACTGCGACACGCAAGCCTCCTTTCGGAGACATCATGACGGAACGTCGACTACTTTATGCCAGAACGACATTCTCAAGGCCCAGTTGTGCTGCTGTCATCGGCCAATGAAGTCTTAGCTCTTGAGTAGCGCCAACCCCCTTTATGCTTGCCGAATTCCGATAATGCAATCATAAGGCAATCGAGGATGTCAACCTTGGCGAGATTCTCGTCATCTCTTCTTTCCTTGAATTATTCCTGGTCCGTAGTTGCAGTTGTGCGACATCTCTCTTAACATCTCAAGGCTATTCTCTGGACGGGCGAATTCATGCTGAATAGCAATAGGAAACATTATGGAATGGATACTCTATCGCATTCATCATGAAGGTCGCCGATCCGGACACGAATGACGTTGTCCCCTCCTAGTGTATGGGCAACCGCCCTTCTCAAACGGAATACGCTAGGCGTCTGAAACGAGAGCCATCAGGGCCTAAGGGCCCTTCATTTCGGGTATGACTTGGTCTACCCGAGCCACCGATCAAATCCCACCCGTTTCCACATCTCACTCTTAATCTTAGGTGTATACTGAGTCCACTGACTGCTTTCTGACCCGAATATGATCAATGGCTAAAAATAACGTAGGGCGTTCCAGGTGGAAACCTCCGAGGGACGATAGGGCCGGTCATCTTGTTTCTCGAATCCTTCGAGAACAAGACCTACGACACTGGAAGCTGTGAACAGTTCATTAGTGTGGGAGTTGACGGTGGGTCTGCGGTAGCGTACGAAGCATGACCGTTCCGTCGATTTCCCATTTCGACTACAGTAATTACCGTGTGGTCTGGGGAGGCGTATTTAGCGAAAAGCCCGTGAACGTGTGGAAAGCCCTACGTGGGACGGTTCCCAAGCCCAGTGATGCCTTGCTGCAACTCCACAAGCAACGTCGAGTCAGACGGCGCGCGCTGCCATCCTGGTCGGTCCTTTATCAGATTCGGCCCTTGTTCGCGCTGTGCTACTGCACAGCACACGGGAAATGCTAACCGTTTTGGCCTTCCCCTAGTGCTCCTGGCCCTCAATTCCTTCGTGGTGAAGAGCTAGTTCTCGACACGTGTCATGCTTACTTGCACTTTCGTACAGGCATCATCCGGTTGGCTGTGGCTCTAGATTCTTGCATGCATTCGCCTGCTCCGAAACTTTCTCTACCATAGCGTTCTTTGCCATCCCATCCGCTGCTCCGGATTCGACATGGGGCTTAGCCAGATCGAGGGGCTCGGTATATCCGGGCTACCGAAGACACTTTTACTCTGCCAGTTTCAGCCGGGTGATGCCGGCCATGCCACTAGCTCCGAGCCCTCAGGGTGGTCTTCAGTTCCTTCTGTGTCTCTTTTCTTACGCCTGTGTATTCTTGGGTCCGATCTGCCGATATTCTCATCTAGTCTTCAATCCCTGCCAGCATGACAAGCCACTCCGGAAGCAAAAGGGACGCACATCTATATGAAACCAGGCTCTGGGGCGCATTGCGTTTTCATCCCTCATATAATCATCAAAACTAACTCGAGCGGGACACGTTCTGGAGAGCTATGCCGACACAGGTTGGCCAATAATATGACGCACTACGTCTGCGCAAGGGCATCGAAGCCCTATGCGTCCAGCAAGCCAGGTTTCCAGCTATAGACCATTCAGTGATCAACACGTGTGGGCGTGGGTGATGCCATGGACCCTGGCTCAAGGGGGTATGAATTCAAGGAATACCCACCGACAGAGGGCATTAATGCCGCAGGTAGGTTTCTGGAAGAGAGTCCAGTCGAACTGCTTACTTTCTCTGGTTTTGGTCATTTGACTAGACTGATGGGGTCGGGACAACACCGCCGCCCCCCTTGGAGACCCCTAAGCGAGACGGCTCATAGACAGAAGTAGCTTATGTCCTATTGAGTCTCAAGCCATCGGGAGGTTCATTACCTGCACCGAATCGCCGCATACCATGCTGTTAGATGCGCATTGAACCGCTTTCATGAGGGCGCCAATGATACGCGCTAGTTGGGCCATCTCATGCCAGCGATTGGTTTCACGTTTCGATTGGGCCGGGAATTGCGCGTCTCTTGCGCCACTTGTCCACCCGCTGTGTCTTGAAGTTTCAAGTGAGTATACCTTTGGATAGGGCTCCTATGTCGGAGATCTGAAACCGAAGGAGGCCTTTGTAAGTGCTCAGTACTTATTGCAGTCAGCAACCGTACTGCGTATGATTCATGGATTGAACGTAAAGTCATTGATACGGGTGAAGCACGATCAGAGCTGTTTTTGATGGTTCTCGAGATAATGACTTCAAAGTTGTAGAATATCGCAGTCGTTGAAGTCACCTGCTCTCCCCGCCAGTCCGATAGAATTTTGGTGTACAGTTTGTTTTGCTCCCCGCCTCCGCACGCTCCAGCCCCGCACCATCAGCCCGTCAACAACTCAGCCCATTGACTATCTTGAGCAATTGAGCTATCAGGGGTTATCTTTAATGGACCTTTCCAAGCCAGTAGATGACGAGTTCACTCGAGCTCTTCCGAAGATCGAGGCAAGTCAAGCAATCCTTTCTGGTGCAAAGGAACCTCAACTACCCTCTCTCCCCTTCTCTTCTCCCCACCACCAACCCCCACACCTCACAATCCCACAACCTCCCACCCCCTCCAAACAAACTAGAAGAAGATCCACTAACCTACAAACCTACAGCTCCACGCCCACCTAAGCGGCAGCATAAGCCGACAATGCCTCCACGAGATCTGGGCCGAGAAGAAAGCCCAATCCCCAGAGACCTTCACCCTGGAAGATCCTCTGGTAGTGATGCCCCCCGGCAAAGTGGACTATTCTCTGCAGACGTGCGTCTCCCCTATATTCTCTGGAACAGCACGCCCATCGACCCAGTATCAAAGCCCGCATGGAACTGTGCACATCCACTTCATCAAGCCACTACAAACATACCCTCCGAGTCTCAAAAACTCCAGGAGAATCCACACTAACAGTGACGTTTACCGCCAAGGTTCTTCACCACCTTCTCCAACACAATCTACCACCTCCTGACTACCCTCTCCGACATCCGGGCCGCCACGCGGTCCACCCTGGCCGACTTCGCCGCCGACGGCGTCGTCTACCTGGAACTGCGGACGATCCCGCGCGCCTCGCCGGCGCAGTCGTTCACGCGGGAGGAGTACCTGACTACAGTGCTAGACACAATCGCCGAGTTTAGTCTGCAGCAGCAGCAGCAGCAGCAGCAGGAGCAGCCGCCACCAGAAAATGCATCATCGATCCCAAGCGGAACGACTACGAAGCAAGCAGCGATGACAACGAACCTCATCCTCGCAATCGACCGGGGCACCATGACCGCCCACGAGGCGATGGAGATCGTCCAGCTAGCCATCAAGTACCAATCCAAAGCCCCCAGCACTAGGCCTAGCACGTATCCCCATCTCCGAACCCCAACCGGGGGGGGGACAGTAATCGGCCTCGACATCTGCGGCAACCCCACGAAAGGCGACGTCGCGCTCTACGCGCCCGCCATCGCGGCAGCCAAAGCCGCGGGGCTAGGCGTGACGGTGCATTTCGCCGAGGTGGCTCCAAACCCACACCACCCCCAGAAGCAGGAGGCGGAGTTACGGACCTTGCTCGACTTCGGACCGGATCGCCTGGGCCACGTGATCCATGTGTCGGCCCCGATCAAAAAGGCAATCCAACAACAAAAATGTGCGCTGGAGCTGTGTCTGTCGTGTAATGTGCACGCGGGCATGGTGGCGGGCGGGTTCGCGGAGCATCATTTTGGGGAGTGGTGGGCCGACGGTACCGGTCAATGTGTGGTGGTGTTGTGTGTGAGTACCTATCCTTTTGACCCTTCGTCTTTTTCGGAAGGGGGGATGTTGTTGGTAACGGTGCGGTGGTGCTGATGACGCTGCGTAGACGGATGATGTCGGGTTCTTCTGTAGTCCGGTGTCGAACGAGTATCGGCTCGCGGCGGAGCATTTCCGTCTGGGTCGGGCGGAGGTGTTGAGGCTTTGTCGGCGGTCGTACGGCGTGATCTTTGGGGGTGCGGCAGAGAAAGAGCGGCTACATACACTTCTAGATGATTTCGAGGCGGGCTACAAGGATTGAATCCCCCCATTATTTAAAAAGAGATCATGATTTTCTGCGTTAGACCAAGCTATCGATGAAGATAATTAGCACTAGACTTTTTTCCCTCCTTAAAAAGAAAAGCTAGCTCTGCCACCGGAACTTCCCCTCCTTCAGCGTCTTAATCACCCCCAAAGGCATATACTCGCGGCTGACGGCAGCCAGGTTCCCATAGCGGTCGGTCATATCCTCGTGGTACAGCTCCGCCACCCACCGCCAATACGCCGACATGGCCCACCACTCGCCCGAAATGATCTTGCGCTTGCTCGCCACCTCCTCGATCCCTTCGTCCAACACCATCTGATGGCGCTGGAAGTGCGCCGTTTGGTCCACGCTCTCCTCCTCCGGCACGCGGATCAGGTCCTCGTACGCCCGCAGCAGCGGCCGGCTGTATGTCTCGGGATACCGCGTGTACTCTGCCAGCGCGAGGGCGGAGGAGGACGAGGGAACCTCGGATGAATCTGCTCCGCCGTAGTTGCTCCAGCTGGAACCACCCGCCAGGGCGGGCCCGTCGTTCACGAAGCGCTCCTTGACCTCCAGGTACTCGGCCTCGTCCTCGAGGAAGGCCGTGCGCAGCCGCGCGGCGGGGCTCTGCTTGATGTTCTCGCGCATGGCGAGGAAGGGGATGTAGGGGTTCAGCAGCTCGATACCACCCAGCTCGACGGGGAAGTAGAAGAAGCCCTCGGGGAGGTCTTTCGTGAGTTTGAACCGGTGGGCGATCTCCTGGCGCAGGTAGTCGGTGACGCCGCTGGCGTTGTCGGGGAACAGGGTCCGCTCGATGCGGTTGAGGGTCGCGATGGCCATGTCGATGTGGCGGCGGCCGAAGCACATGGCTGGCGTGGCGAAGTTGTTGGCGAAGAAGCGCCCGAAGTAGCTGTTCCAGGCCTGGACCCAGGCGAAGATGCTCTTGCAGGACGAAAGCTGCCGCCGGAGCTCGTCGATGTGGCTGTCCACCTGCGCCTGGTCGATGATGAAGCGCCCTTCCTGTGGGTCGAGCTTGAGGAAGCCCCAGCGGATGTCCCCTTGGGGCAGCAGAGCGCTGGGCGACGCGCTGGTCTTCGCCTTGGGGGCTGATGGTTGTCCAAGAGGCCGTGGCACCGTGTCCTTGGCAACGAACTTGGTCGTTCCGGTCTTCTCCTCGTTGAACCGGAGACCCATCACCTCGGCGAAGGTGGTCATCGTCTGCCACGCCTGGACGCAGGTGTCTTCGTGACCCCAGAACCAGAAGTCATCGTGGAGTCGGTAAAGGTAGCCGCCCTCCGTGCTCTGGTTCACGGCAAAATCCATGCAGAACAGCACCGCTTCGCCGAAGAAATCTGACAGCGCATGGCTCATGGGCACCCCGCGTCGGCGGACCGACACGGAGGCCGTGGGGCCGTCCTGGACAAAAGAGATGGGGGCCTTGAGAAAGGTGTCGAAGAAGTGCAGCCAGGTCTGCGGCACTCCAAAGTATTCCAGCACCGTGGAGATGGTGGTGTGGGCGAGCGAGGGTCCGAAATATTCAAAGTCCGACCGGATGGCCGTGAACTCTCCATGCAGGGAGGTGTAGACCAGGGACTCGGTGATGAGGAGATGGAGCAGCGAATGCTTGATCTCCATGCCGTTCTTTTTCTTCTTCTCTTCCTCATTGTCATCGTCGTCTGCTTCCTCCTCGGCGTAGGGGTCGGACGTATCGTTCACCGAGCTGGGCAACGAGGTCATGAAGTACTCCTCCTTGAACGTGTTCTTCCGCAAGGCATGGACCGACTGGACCCCGGAGCTCCGGCTCACCGACTCCCTCCTGAATCGCGACCGCCGCACGACTTCCTCCTCCGAGACCTCGTCGCGCAGCGACTTCCAGGCCGGAGATCCCAGGAATTCCTCGAGGGCCGATCGCAGGGCCACCGCCCACCGCACGCCGAGGTACTGGAACATGAGGCTGTCCAGCAGATCCTCATCCATAAACACGCGGTACTTGCCGTTCAGCTGCCGGCGCATCTCGACGGGGATCCCCTCCCCGGACCAGGCCCAGGTGTCCAAGGCGCCGAGGCGCATGTTGAGCACGTCGGCGACTTCCTGTGCGACGGCGGGGTTGCGCATGAACTCTTTCAGAACAGCCGTCTTCTCCTTGGTGAGCAGGTCCGAGCTCAGCAGGGACTTGGAGATCCAAGCGAGATCCTTCGCTTTGAACCAGGTCTTCTTGGACGCGAACTCGGTGCCGAAGGACCGGATCTTGTCGCGGAGCCCCTTCAACGCCTGCTGGGTTTGCGTCGACGTCTCGAAGATGCCGTCCAGGTACGTGCGGATCGCCGCTGCGTCGATGTCCGCCTCGGTAAAGACCAGGGACTCCCACTTGGCGCGCTGTTCGTGCATCTCTGCGCGCCCGACCTTCTCGAAGCTCGCACTGTTCTCGTCGGCGCCGGCGCCGGCGCCGGCTGCACTCGGAGCGGCGGAATCCCCCCCGTTGAGGTCGCACAGCCATTCCGTCACCAGATCACTGTAGAAGGAGGCATGCTCGTGACGGAGCTGCAGAAACTGAAGCTCCTTTTCCAGCTTGGCGATCCAGCCCTTGAGGCCGCGCTCCGAGACGGACGGGTCATACTGGCTCTGGAGGAGGAAGCGTCGGATGTTGGCGTACTCCGCGCCCTCGGACAGGTCTTTCACGAAAGTGTCTCCGCCTGCGGAGTGGTCTGCGTCCAGATCGTGACGGTCGATGGCGATGTTCGGATAGCCCTTGAGTCTGGTCACCCCTTCCAACAGAATTCGGGTTTTGGTGCGGAGATCGGTGGCGTGTTCAGCGGCTTTTGCAATCTCTTTCCTTCGTTGCTCGAACAAATTGCGTTGCTTTGAGAGTTCGTTGATTTTGGTCGCGGTGATCGAACCCAGAGTCTGGGGCAGAGCGCCGCCGGACAGCATCGTTGTAGCCCCTTGTGCGGATTCGTGGGAAACAAAAGACTTCAACTTCAATAGCATAATCCAGATACGTAGTGAGATAGAAAGAAAGGAGAAGGGAAAAATTCGAAAAGTTGTCGAGTGGGTTTAATCCAGCGATCGACAAAAGTAAGAGCTCCAAAGGAGCTCCATTATATACTCGTAAACGAGTGGGGACGAGCTCCGCGGCGGGATCCCAAAGCGGAATCATCACATGGCATCCACACCACATTTTGTCCCTCAGCTCCAGGCTTCCGACTCAGCCTTCTTCTTCGGCATCCCAAAAGGGTTCCCGAAGTGCTTCAACTGATTCTTTGAGTCACCACCGTCGTCATGATGATCAATCGGACGATGACCGCCGTGCGAATTGGAGCAGGCACTGGTCATACTGCATTTGCAGAAAGCTCGAGCCCCGCAGTTCAGCCGCAGCAGCAGAGAAGCTCCACCGATGCACGATCGCCCTCACAGCCTTGGCAAGAACAAGCGACGCCAGATCGCGTCCACTGCAGCCCCGGGGCCCTCTGCTGAACGCGACGAACCTGCGGTCCAGCTGCCGACGGGATTCTTCCGAGTCGTCGTTGTCGTCGCTCCCCGAACCCAACCAGCGCTGCGGCACCCATTGGTCGGCATCATCGCCCCAGATCTCCCGCGACCGACCCAAAACATACGTGCTGGCCGAGACCGTCGTGCCAGCGGGCAGGGGATGGGACAGGCCCGGGATTGCCATCTCAGCACCCGACCTTATCACTCGCGGGAACGCCGTCGGAAAGGGTGCGCGGAAGCGCAGGGTCTCTTTGATGACGGCTTGCAGTTCGAGCGATGGCGACGGCGACAGCGACAGCGAGGGCGAAGAAGCATCCGTCGAGGTTGAGCCCTCAAGCGCCTCGCCCTCGACGCCAGCGCGCAGCTTCTTCTGCCAGATGTGACCCTCCGGAAGGCCCAACTGGTAGAGAATGGCCGTCAACGCGGCCGCCATGCTGCCAGGACCAGCAAACACCAAATTAGAGGCCTCCGACATGGCCTCAGCCGGCGTCATCCGTTGTCGGTTGGAGACTGCAACACCATCCGCCGACGAACCCAACTCACCCAGCAGCCAGCTCTTCACAATCCCGGGCTGCGAATCCCCTTTCCCCGCAAAAACCTCCGGACCCATTAAAATCGCCGCCGCACCACGATGCATAAGCCCGTTCAAACCGACCATCGCGCCATCGGCATTGTACCTCGGCCGGCGCAGACACGCCACCGCCGGACGGGTATTCATCAGCCACCCGAACAGCGGCCAGAGCGAGTAACTCCAGACCATCTTGCTCACGTAGCGAATGCTCGCGCCGAGGTTTCCCGCGACATCGTTGTCCGTGTAAGGGTGCGGACCCACCGCCGGCCCAAAGAGGATGTCCAGCATCACGTCGAGGGCGAAGCGATGGACGAGCGGGGCCACGTTCACGTTCAGTTCTCCCAAAAGCCCAATCTGTTGCTGTTGCTGTTCCTGTTCCTGCTCCAGCCGTGCCACCTCCTCCGCCAACCGCCCAACCAACACAGCGACATGCCTCGCGATCACCGGCTCGTAGCGCTGGATCTGGGCGCGCGTCAGCGCCGGCCCCAGCATCCTCCGGCGCTTCTGGCGGTGGACGAGGTTCGTCTGCGCGGCGAAGACGCTGACGTCGCGCTGGGGGCGGCGGCGGCGCCCCTCCCCGAACGTGTAGAAGTCGTCCTTCTCGATCGCTTTGTGGAAGCCGTAGATGGCCTCGAAGGCGGGGAGCTGCGAGAACGAGAGCCAGTTCGGGGCGACCCGGACGATCGGGCCGTAGCGCTGGTGCAGTTTCTCTTCGGTGAGATGGTGCTGGCCGTGGAGGAAGCTGGCGAATTTCCTGGGGGGTTTTTGGATTTGGGGTTAGCATGCACATAGACACACATAAGATGCACACAGAGTAGGTTCTCCGCTTGGTTGCCCCCCACAGCTAAACACAGCCAAACACAGCCCACCCCAGCCCATCTCTACAGATTGCAACCAAGAGAGAATGTAGACATACCAGACATTCGTGAAATGAGCCAGAAAGGGTCCCGGATACCGCGCCAGAGGGTGGAAATAGTAACTATAAAGCACGTGGGCGAGCAGATCGGCCAGCAGGAACTGGATGACGAGCCGGATGGCAGAAGTCATCGTCACGTAGCGTAGTGTATCAGGTCAGGTAAATTCCCACGATATCGTGAGCCAGCCAGCCAGGGCAGACGAGGACGAAAAGAGGTAGTAGCGACTGGATAAGATGCTCGACCAACAACAGTCCGGAAAGAAACTCTTGGGAGAGTGGTCACGAAATGGTTGTGGGGTTGCTTTTTCCTGACATGCTCTGCCTGTTTGAAGGCTGCGATCGGATCACTCACCGACTTTGTACCATATACCTAGTACCTGACAGTCATTGCGCAACTGCATGGTATTCTTACTCAGCGACGACTCTAACTTAGGAGGGTAGGTCGCAGAAACGAGACAAAGGAAGAAGCGTATGAACCTGCGGAGTAACTATACTTTGGTGTGTTTCCCTCCCCGTGCCCGTCGAAGCGGCCTGTCCTGAGGCAGCCTCCACCCGCGGACTCGGAGTAAATCTGATCGCTACAAGGGACAAGTATCTCACCAGATACGAGTTTAGGAAATCAAGGATGGAAGTGCATGCAAAACTATCCCGGCAAACGCACCGAGTGATAATTGTATGGTTCTGTGTGGGTATGTGTCAAATTACAAAAATGGTTATGCTCATCATCAGGCAGCAAATTAGTGCACTGTCATCATAAGAAAACAAATCGTGTCTCATCATCAATCATCATACAAGCGAGGATGCCCGCGACTTTGGATGCTTCTGGTCAACAGTCGACGCAAAGTCTATCGGTTTGCCCGCAGTGTTCTCCTCTTCGCCGTCAACCTCCTCGCCGTCTGCGATCGACAGCGCACCTTCCACCTTGACCTCATGCCACGTGTCGCTGGTGCCAGGGATGGGGAAGAAGCGGGTCAGCGCATAGTACATCACGGCCGACACGACGAACCCGGAAAAGTAGTTGATGTTGTATATGTATTGGGCGCCAACCGGCACTTCCCGGCCCACAGCGCCGGCAAAGCCCACGATGTTGACCAGAATGCCCGCAATGTACGAGGCGTATGCGTGCCAGGAAAAGCCACAGATGTAATGGTACGGGGAACTGCGGCTCGCGTTGTACAGATCCTTCACTTGGAGATAGCCCTTGCGAACGATGTAGTAGTCGCACACGATGGGGCCCGCGATGGAGGATAGGAAGACTGAGTAGGCGGACAGGTAGGTGGTGAACTGGTTTGACGACGATTGGAGTTTCCACTAGGCTCGGTTAGTCAAAGTCCCTGCACAAGTTATAATGACAGGGATCATCATACTGGACACATCGCCAAGCCGATCGCGGCGCAGACATAGCTTCCTCGGCGGATGTTGATGTATCGGGGCAGCAGAGCCGTCATATCGGTACCCGCAGAGACCGAATTGGCGGAAATGTTGGTCCCCAGTTGCGCCAGAGCAAAGCCCGTCGAGATGATGAAGACCCCGAAGCGCTCAGCGGAGCTTGCCCCGTCCAAGAACTTGCCCAGCAGGTCCAAGGGGTTCCAGACAAAGTCACCACCGAAGATGACGGCCGACGACGAGGAAACGATGATTCCGATGAATGAGGTAATTCCGAATCCGATCGGGATGGTAAGCAATTGAGACCACAGCGCATCCTTCGGTGTCCGCGAGAACCGAGAGAAATCCGGATCATTCACAATCAAAGTGGCGAAGTTGCTCAGGCAGCTCATGATCGATTTCACCACGGCCCAGGCCAGCACGCTGCCGTGAACCGAGGCGGGCTGGTGGACAATGGGGCCGATTCCGTTGGCGCGGGAGATGGCCCAGGCGAAGAATGCAATGGCAGCGATGGGCGAATAGATGGCCTTGACGGTGAAGAGATGGCGGATCTTGTGCACGGGGAACCAGAGCGCGGGCAGCGATAGCAGCCAGAACAGGAAGAAACTCAGAAAGTTCTTCGTATCGACGCCGGCACTGGCAGGGATCCCGTTGGGCAGGTTGTTGTAGCTGGGCCATATGGATCGAATCATCAGGGTCACACACTCGCCTGTTACATGTCAGATATACTCCGATCAAGCCATTGCGGCTGGGCTCGCGTAGCAACGGCGCCAGGGCTTTCCTTACCTCCAATGTAGCCTTGGACACCGTACCACACGACAGCCATGGCAGCTCGATTGAATACGGGCCAGAAAGACCCCCAGATACCGAAACTCGAGCGACAGGCGACAGGGAAGGAGATGTGGTAGACGGCACCAATGCGACCCGTCAAGCACACAAAACAGGCGGCAATGAAGTACCCAACCCAGACACATATCCACGACTGCCACCATGACAGGCCATCCACAATCATCGAGGAGGAAATCATCCAGGTATTCTAGTCGAACAAGCGGGTTTGGTCAGCCGGGAAGGGCGGTAGGCCATGATCGGCTAAGATGCCCGCAGTAGTACTCACGATGTTGAGAGAATCTGCTATCCAAAAGGCGACGAAGTTGTACCATCCCCATTGCCGACGTTCATGTTCAACTGCAAGAATCCGAATCCATCACGGTCAGTCCGTGCGCCAGAGCCTGAGAGAGGATCACGCCGCAAACAGCGACCCGTCCACAGATCGACCAACGTACCTGGTTGTAAATCATGGTTCATCAGCATCAATTGAGTGTTGGACAGTCCCGGCTCCGCGGACACCTCGAGTTTCTTCAGCCATCGTTGCAGACGAGTTGTTTCCATGTCTGTGAGATAGTAGGAATGAGCGATGTTGGAGGGAGTAGGCAATGCACTCAGAAGCTAGAGCTAGGCCAGCCTAGTCGAAATCTCGCCACGCCGACAGGTATATACAAGATTGGCGGGGGGGAGGAGCACGATGAGTGGAAGGACGGACGAGCGGCTCAACCTGCTTGATGGGAGATGGGAGGGCAGGGAGGTATGCGATGGAGATAGTAGGAAATAATAATAAAGAACAAGCTAAGCCAGACAGCCATAGCAGCGTTGTATAGTCTTAGTGTATTTATATACCAGATGCTATCAAGATAGATTGAGTCGGAACGTACCGTATCATCGCCCTCGTCATTGATTCTCTCGGCAAGCCAATCAGCAGAGCCAAGAGGGCCCCCTGATAGTGGCCTTTTCCCCCGTACGCCATCATGACATGAAAAAGGACGGAAGGGACCAATTCGACTCTGCGCCCCTCTGCCTCCTTGACGCAAGATAAGGAATTTGGGAAAATTGGTCAGATGGGCCGAAGATCATCAGCCATGGGCCTTTCTTATCGCCCGCCATGGATGGTGGAACGGGAGCACCGAGCGCGCTGAGGCACCCGTGCCAGTAACCTAACAACCTACGGTGCCACTGATGAATTGATTATCGTAGATCGATATCATTTTTCGTTGCTCGATTCGGTCGAGTAAGCAAATTCTAATTCCTGGCCAGCGAGCGTTATCAGCGCGAGTGGAGCGAGACTAATCCCTCTCCACTGGTTTCTCCGCAAAAATCAAAGGTGCCTGGTGGGGCGTGTCTCTTAATATCGCTTAGTATGATAGTATCTAATCATCTCCTGGGGCCCGCTGACTCGATGAGATCGAGTAAAAGATATACCTGAAGAAATCAGCCCATGCCCGTACTGTCCTCGCTTTTCGTTTCCCCACGGGTCCGGAGGATGCCTGGGAGGATAGAGTTCCGATGTCGCTGCTTATGCCGTTGCTAATGCCGCTGTCACACATTAAACTATGCTGGCTGACTCATCCGATCAGCATAACTAACCTCTTCATAATTAGCACAACTACATTACGGCTTACATTAGTTAAGTTACCTACGAGTAGTCTTGCTTCAGTACTAAATCTGACACAACGATGAGACCAAACTGGAATCTTGAATCAGCTCTCAATTCCAAAAAGAAAAAAAAAGCCAAAAGAATGATATCTTCCACCTTTTACCCGCTCGAAGTGTCCTTCGCCTTCAATCGATGATCATGACCAGGCTTTGCACAATCTTATACATCAGATGACGGACAAAAATCGTCGGGTATACAGAACATGCGTTCTTGACATCTTCATTCCGAGTATGAGCTTAAACAAAAACGATCAATAATCTACCATCAAGCCATCCTCAAACTATCCCAGCAAGCCGACTCAAACCCCCAAAGCCTCATTCAAAATGTAATGACTGCCTCCCGCACACCGATACCCACCCTCCTGTTTAATCCACTGATACCCGGCAACACAAGCGCCCATAGAACGCAGCTTCCGCTGAATCAGTTGTTCCTTCTTCCTGGCCTGTTCCTCCCCCTCGCGCTGCCTCCGAAGTTCGTCCAGCCTCGCCCGCTTGGCCAGCTCTTCGAGCCGGCGCTGTTCGCGCTGCTTCTTTGCTTCCGCGTCGACTTCGGGGTCCGAAGATCTGGCCGGCGAATCGGAGAGGTCAGAAGGTAGGTCGTTAGCTGCCGTCTCCGCCTCGCGTTCGTCGGCGAGCAACTTCTTGTATCGGTCTTCTGCTGCCTGTGCGGCTTGTCTGTCGCGCTCTAGTCGCTCCCACACCTCATCCGACACCCCATCGTCCCTGGTGATAGCGCCCGAAAGGGTCTCCTCCGGTGCCGGGGTCGCTGGAGGCGCAGCAGATTCTTTCTTGCTTGCGGCTGCTGCGTCCTCGGAGGCTGCAGGCGGGCTGTATGATGTGGTTAGCACCGGAGAGGCTGGCTGCCGACCGAAACCCTGGGATTGGAGTAAATTCAGCGTAGGGTTCCGGGAGACGGACTTGTTTGCTGCGCGTTTGGTGCGCTCAGACAGCATCTTGTCAATCTCCCCGATAATAAGATCCTCGCAGATGACGATCGTCTTGTCTTGCATGGTCATAATTGCGACTCTGAAGATTGATTTCGAGATGGTCTGGATATCACGCGCATTGGCCCAGTTCGCAGTCTGAGTCAGTCGGGTAAATCGGCAGCCTAATTCCTTGGTGAACTCGGCCCGCGGAGACTCCAATGCGTCCAGGTCAAATCGGGTGGTCTTCTGCGAGAAATTGGACTTTTGCGTCTGGAGCAGCTTCGTTAGGAGATGGATGCAAGCATCGGGCGTAAGACTGGCGAACTCAAGTTCCTCCGGGAACCGACTGGTCAGGCCTGGGTTGATGGTCATGAGACGATTGATGTCCTGGTCGTATCCTGCTAGGATGATGATAAGTTTCTGGAAGAACTTGGGCTTGGTGATGCAGTCGACTATCTCATCCATTGCCTCCTGCGCAAATTGCCCTTCGGCGAGTCTGTAGGCCTCGTCGATCAGGAGAACCTTGCCGAGGGATTTCTCGAGCAGCTCCTGTGTCTTAGGGCCGGTGTGACCGATATACTGCCCCACCAAATCCGTTGCTGAGCTTTCGACGACCTCCACGGATGACAGCAAACCCAGGTCGTAGTACACCTGGCCCATTTTTCTGGCGGTGCTTGTCTTGCCGGTTCCTGGAGGCCCCCGGAAAAGGAAGTTAAACGGCACCTGTTCCCTGGGGTCCATCTCAAGCTCACGGAGGTTTTTGACGGTCGAGCGTAAGTCCTCCAGCTTATCGATGATAGCGTCGCAGCCGACGGTGTCTTGGAAGAGCATCCGGATATTCGTTTCGTTTCGTTCTCCCCGATCATACTCGGGGTCCCAGTCCTGAGGCTCCAAGTATTCGAGACCTGGGTTGCCAGTTCCGGCTGACCGTCGCTGTTGCTGTCGGAGCTTGGCGCCATTCAACAGAATGTCAATCTCACCTGCGTTGCCAAAGTGCGGACGGTTGCGAGCACGGGCGAGGATATCCATCGCTACCTTGGCACCCTTGTCGGAGGTGACAAACCCCTGATCTTTCAGCTTGAGATCGAGGATCTGTCGCAGTTCGAGGTCGGAGAAGTCGGCAAAAACAAAGGCATCCTCGGTAGCGAATCGTCTGGATAGCCCTGGATTGACATTCTGAAACATCTGCTTCATTTGCTCCTCATAGCCCAAAAGCAGAACACAGCGATCGTCACCCGGAACGCCCTGCACCTCTGCAACGATTGTGTCGACCACCGCTGTCTTGAATTGGTTGAAGTTGGAGCCGCTTGCGTCGCGAGTTCCACCACCGAACAGCCCATAGGCTTCATCGATGACGAGAACCTTTCCCATTGTTGATGCCAGAATACCTTTGGTATTCTGCTCCGATCCGCCGATGACACTCCCGATGAAGTCTGCTGGGTTCTTCACAATCACTAGAGAACCGTTATCCGCACTGTTAGCCACCTTCTCCACCAACGCTGAAAGCACTATACCACTCACCTTCACCATTCGACAAGTACCCAAGGTCGACAAGAATCTGCCCGTAGAGCTTAGCGACCGTCGTCTTGCCTGTTCCCGGCGACCCAAGGAAGACGCGGTTGAGCGCGAACTCGACCAAAGGCTTCTCTTTCAGCTCGCGCTCGTAGTTCGCCTGCATACTTTCCAACAAAGCGCGGACGGTGTTCTTCACGGATGCCAGACCAATCATATCCTGCAGCTTTCTCCAAGCCGAGCAATCCTGCAACGCTTTCTTGGGCTCGGGACCGAGGAGGTCGTTCTTCGTGAGCAGGAAATCATCAATGGGCGGTTGACTGGGGGACTTGTTCCTTCTTTCGCAGGCCAGTCGTGCTGCCTGGCGCGCCGTGATGCGCGCGAGGACATTTTCCACCGTGCGCGCATTGCCAAAGCCCTCATGGCCCCGTTGACTGCCGATCCGACGCGCAACGATCCGACAATACAGTCCGTCCATCCCGTCCTCGACCTTCATCTTGCCTCGGAACTTCTTGTTGATCTGAAACTCGAGGATCCGACGGAGCTCCAGCTCGGTGTAGTCCTCGAAGACGAGTTCATGCGGGAATCGACTCGGGAGGCCGGGATTGTGAGCGAAGAACTTCTCCATCTGCAGTCGATATCCCGCCAGAATCACGACCACTTTTCCCGTGAGGTTCTCGATCTCGGCCAGCAGGAAGTCAAGGACCTGGGACCCGGGGCCAGTACTCTGCGCTAGCAGCTGGTAAGCCTCGTCGATGAAAAGCACGCCACCGCCCTTGTTGAGGATTTTGTTAATGTGCTTCTCGCAGTCGGACACGCCACCGTTGCCGAGTCGCGATCCGGTGGTCTCGACAATAAAGCTACCGGGGATGATACGCATAGCTGTGAGGAACTTCGCGTAGATACGTGCAACAGTGGTTTTCCCCGTCCCCGGGTTTCCGAGGAGGACGGAGCCGAACTGATCGGCGTGGAGACCAATGTCCTGCCTGACCGCGGTATCGACTTGGGATTTGATGTTGAGGAATTTGGCTTTGCTCTCCAGCCCGATCATCCCCATCAACTGGTCTAGCTCCTCGCTTTTTGCGCCTTCATACCCCTTTTGGTGTACCCATTCCTGCTCAGAGGGAGATAATGCTTGCGTCCCGGTGGGGCTGATCGTGGCCTTCGATGATGGTGATGAGGATGATGATGCTGTTTGGCCGAGATTCTTGCTCCGATCGGGCAGGGTCTGGGGATTCTGACCGGTCTGGTCAGCGTTGACAGCAGATGACGAGTTGTCTCTCTCGCGTTCGGCGCCACGCGTTCTGAGTTGTTCAAGATCCTCGAGGGTTTGCTGGAGAACGCGCTGCCGTTCCTCATCATCCCGCTTTTCTTGCTGGAGTCTTCTCTCCTGGGCGATCTCATCCTGAATTTGGGCTAGCTGACGTGCATATTCCTGCTGCTTGGCTTGTCGCTCTGCGTCGAGGTCCATGTCCCTTTGCCGTCGGCGCTCGGCCTCGCTGTCTTCCTCAGCACAACGACGGCACTGCCCCTTGTGCTGGAAGCATGGTGTCACTTCTTTATGATTGCGGGGGCATATCCAATCGACGCCCATTTGGCACTGCATCTTGGAATGATCTGACAGCTGATGACACTTCTGAGGACAGTCATGCATTCCGCAGTTTAGTTTCGTCCCACTGTCGCGCTGGTTATTAGCCTCCGTCGCTTAAAAACCAGAATCAACAAACCCAGCAAAGCAACTCACCACAGCTGTTCGCACCCTCCATCGGGGCATTTTGCATCAAAGTCGTCAGGCGATTGGAGAACTGCTAGTGTCTTGGGGTGCTGCTCGCATTTTACGGGCAGGCCATCGTACAGGTGTCCGCACGTCTGGAGCTGATCGACAAAAGGCCGCCAAACCCCCTCCCCTGTCTTACTACCCAGAAAAGTGTTCGAATTTCCGACCATGATGAGCACATCTCGAGCGCGAGAGAGGAGCACGTTGAGCCGCTGCGGGGCCGCCATGAAGCCGATGTCTCCGGATTTGTTGCTTCTGGTCAAACTCGCGATGACGATTTCACTCTCCTCACCCTGGTAATTGTCTATGAGCAAGGAGTTAGCAGATACTCTTATCGAACCAAGGGCACTCTTTCTTTACCGATGGTGGACAGCTTAATCGGTCGCTTGATGTGCTGGGCGCTCGCTTGTGTCATCAGTCCTGCACGGACGAGGTCATAGGAGTCCAGGTCATTGAGTATAGGGTCTGTTTCCTTGCGCAGTTCCTCCCGGAGGAGATGAAGTTGACCCAGGTAAGGAGTCAGTACCACCAACTTGTCAGTCCCATACCCTTGCTGGCCGAGATATCGAACGATCCTGAGAACCAGCTGCACCTCGAACGCGTTCTGCTTGCTTGCTTTACCCCCACTGTCGTTCCTGTCAGCCACTCCACCGAAGCTCCCCTCCGGATGGCGATGGTCAATAAAGATGACCCGGTCCTGCAGACCCCTCGGGGCGGGTCGGTTCATCGTCTTGTCGCCGTCCTCAAGCTCAGGGTATGTCAGTCTGCGCACGAGCGAGGAGATTTCAGGCACCATGCGGTGCTGTTTGGCTAAGGTGGAATGCGGGAATCCCGACAAGACCAGTCGCTCGAAGAGTGACCGATTCAGATCGTATCCCGATCCCTTCTCCACCGACAGGCTGTAACTGTTGATCTTGGGTCGCAGTTGCTGGTGGTCGCCGATCATGATCAGCTGCTTAGTGTGGGACCCCAAGGCAGTGAGGACGTGCGACTCGAGAATCTCCCCAGCTTCTTCCAGGAGCACGATGCCCGGGGAGACGGCACCCAGATCTCGAGCATGCATTGCTGCCCCAGTCGTGGTGCATCCGATGATCCGTTTTGACCGGAGGATTTCGCGGGTTGCTTCGCTCCACAGCTCGGCGCGCCTTGCCTCGCAGCTGTCCAATCTGCGCATGAGACTTTGGACATTGGCAATCTGCTCTTCAAGCAGAACTTTGGTCCACGACTCCAGCTTTGTCTGGCGAGTGTCTTTGCTCGTTTGCCACACACCGTTGGCTTGCTCGCTGAGCCGATAGGGGATTGTCGTGGGGTAGTTCTTCCCTTGCACCCAGTGACTGTATAAGTAATGAGAGGTGACTGCCTTGCCGCCTTCACCGACGAGAGTCATCCCCTCGGGGTTATCTGGAGGGGTGAATGCTTCATGATAGTCAGGCTCCTCAAACTCCAGGTATTCAAGGATCGTGTCGGTGTTAATCTTGAAGTTGAAATAGGTGCCAGATGCGCCGTTGAGAGCTTCACGCAAGCCCGTAGCCTTTCCCCTGATCTCATCGAGAATCCGCCACGTAGCCGGGGTCCGCCTATAGCTGGCCTGCTGCTCAGAGAGCTTGAGCGGCGCCGTTCGTGGAGAAGATTTGGAGCCCAGTCGAACGATCGCTGATGAACTAATCCCGACGTCTAGCAGATCTTCCAAGAACTGGTCAAGGGCATGGTTCGTGTAGCACATCACAAGGATAGCCTCTTTACTGTGGTCAAACAGGGCTTTCGCGATGAGAGCACCGACGAACGACTTTCCAGTCCCTAACACCAACAAGTCAGGTCAGCCAGTGGCCACCGCCGTAACAAGGAAAATGTAGTTAGTTACCTGGTGGGCCCTGAATCAAGCTGATCTTCTGCGTGAGGCCGGAGACAAACGACTGCATCTGAGATGCATCGAGGCTGATGGGGTTCTCAGTGGCCAGCACGTCCTGCAGCGTGGTCACACCCTGATCAAGCCCCTCAATCAGTCGTTCATCAATAGTGTGGGATCGGGCGATCTCGCTACCATGTCGGTAGTCCAGTAACTCCTCCGCCAGAGGCAGCTCCGTCTTCTCCTGGAGACGTCTGAGGATGGGCTCGTAGGCGAACACAGCAGTATCGACAAAGACGAACATGAGGTCGCTGTAGAGGGTGAAGTAAGACAGCGTCTTTCTCACGGCCTCATCTCCCACGATCCGCAAGACAATCTGCGGCACGTCCTCGAGAAGATAATCAATTTGCCGATCCACCGTAGCAAAGGAGACGATCTCTTCACCACCACCACTGCCGCGGAGCAGACAGCCAAACGACTGATGGCGCAGATAGCCGCGGTCGCTCTTCAGAAATGCCTTCCGACTCTCCTTGTCCCCGCGGGCTGTCAAAGCCTCCAAGCCTTGCCGGCAGGCGATCACCAGGCCGCACGGGGTCATCCGCTTCTCTGGGCCATTGCATATCTCCTGCAGCGACAAGCCCTTCAGCGCTGTCACCGTCCGACCACCACGCCTCCTCTTCTTCTTTTGCTTCTTCATCGCCTGCAGCTCCTCGCGGATTTCCGAGAGCATGTCCTCGCGCAGCAGCCGGAACTGATTATCGAGATGCCCTGCGGCCCGCTTCTCCACGGGCAGTCGCAGGATCTCGTCCGCGCGCCGATAGAACGGTTTCTTCTCGACCGACCGGCACAACTCGTCGTTGGTGGGATAGATGGCGATCTGACGATAATCGGCGTGGTCATTGTCATGCCGGCCGCCTGGAACGTAGTCGGCGTTCTCCACGGCCGTGCTCGATGCACTGGCCTTGAGTTCCACGACCTGCTTCAGCTTGTGGCCATAGGCGCGGGTTTCCGGGGATCTCGACAACTCCAGCAGCGCGCCACTGTCGACCACGGTCCGGGCATCGTCCACCAAGTCGGCCCTTTCGGTAGCCGCCGTCGCGGTCGCGGGGGTGATGAGACATTCGATCATGAGCCATGCAAAGGCCTGGACCGCCGGCTCGGTGAGGCGTTGGGCGTGGAAGGCCCTCAGGAACGCAGTCCACACCGTGCGCGGCTCGACCACCAGGTCCAGAAGATCGCGCAGATGCTGACCACTGCATAGTGTCTTGACGGAGGGGGCCGCGAGGTACTGCAGAAAGGCAGCCGTGTGCTTGTTCAGGAAGTCCGGGTCGGTGTTGGATCGGATCCCGGCGTGGATGGCGTCTCGGGCAGCGGGGCTGGCGACAAGGCGCTCAACGCATGCTGCGCGGTCATTTTGCTCGGCAATCGCCTCCAGGAGCCGGGTGAAGTGCTCGACGGTCACAACGGGTCGTTTACCCTTCAGGACAAGGTCGAAGTATTTGGCGAGCCGATCAGTACGAGATGCCATCTTGGATGGGCGGCCTTGTAACCGGCTTGAGGTGGTTGAGGGAAGATAAAAGGGAGTTTTTGAAATGAAGACGGAAGAAACAATCGATACCACAGATATATAGCATTTGAACTACAGGTGGCACTGCACAGGCGGATCGTAGAAGCCGCCGTGGACAAGGCTGCGAGTTTCCTGATGCGTTCGTCGTCACTCTCCAACCGATTGCTGCGCCGCTCAGCTAATAAGCGCCCACCGGCCATTCACCCATGTAAAAGAGGCAGATTTAGACAGGCAACGAGATAAACGGAACCTCGCCTGCGCCTCCCTCGCTGCCCACAGTATCAATTTCGTAGGTTGACTTCATGTCATTCACCTGCCTCTTAGCCATAGCTCCTGGGCCAGCATTCAGGAATGAGATAGGTGGCGTAATAAGCATGATATTGCTTTTTACAGGCAGTATATAGGATACAGGCAGAGGTGACTGTCAAGATATAATCCTTATACATCTTGGATAGTGATTCCAGGGCTCTTCAGAACCTACAGATCATTTCAAGTGAGTGGAAGGAAAGACTCGGCTCTGCACCTGAAGCCAGCGGCTTGAGTATCTTTGTTTCGGAGCATCCGTGCCTACCTAGTAACTACCTAGAGTCAATTAACCCCACCTACTATAGCCTATTAAGCTTTGCTTCAAAGCTAAGATAGATTACTAGGTGAACCATAAGATAAACTACGAAATATACTACAGAAATAGTTTGTTAGCGAGTTTCTTCGAAGCATACTATATATATTAGGTGATCCCCTCTGAGAGGTTATTTGAGCTATATCTACAGTGAATTCGAGGGTATACGTTTAACCATGCCGATTCTCAACTACAAGGAAGATTAATCCATATTGCCCATCCCTGACTTCCACCTAATCGACAAGTCCCTAAGAAATCCTGTTAGGTCGTAGTGTTGTAGCAGAGTAGTTGCCACAAGCACAGGCTTGTCGCTTTGTAAATCATTGCAAAATACAATACATGCCATCTATGATCCCTCAAAACAGACCCACTCAGCCAAACCCCGGGACAATGCAAGATAATAAATACACAATAACACGGACACATCACCATGTCATGATCAACAGGCAGAACCACCACCACCACCACCACCACCACCACCACCACCACCATATCATCATCCCATCAGACTCTGACTTAACCCTTATTCCACTTTCCGAACTTCACATAGTCATCATACAGAGCCTTGAACACCGCCCGCCCGGAGACATCTAGTCCCGCATTCAGCGCCCGCATTGTATCGCGCGACATCACGTCGAGCACAGCATACAGACCCGGAATGATTGCCGCCTTCACGTCAGGCGAAAGAGACCCGCGAAGAGCGCTCTGCGTATAATCCTGGATCAAATACTGAAGGTACTGCCCCGCAATGCGCTTGGCCTTCTTCGTCTGATCGGTCAACCCTTCGAAGCCCACGCCAGATTGCGTCGGTCTCGAGACGGCCGAGACCGTCGGGTCGCAAAGGGAGGTTAGAAGACGGGTGAAGTGCACAGCGTGCGATGCCTGTAATGGAGCAAGCCAATAGGGCTGCTGCCCGGATTTCTTATCGTGCAACATGGACCGGCTGCGCTTCTTGGAGCGAGCAAAGAGACAATCCAGCAAGCCACTGATAACAGGATTAATAAGGTGGAAGCGACCGCCGAGTTTTTGACGGTGAAGACCGAGAAGGAGGCCCATAATGCGACAGAGACGGATATAGACAGTTCCAGCGTATGCAGGGTCGATGCAGGGACCGGATTTGGAGGTACACACGGCGATCGTTCCCAACAGGTTGTCGATATTGAACTGCGTGACACAACGCGTGTGGTTACGCAGTATGATATCCAGACACTCAGTAGCGAATGTAAATGGTTCGATGGAGTTGTTCTTAAGTAGAGAATTGGTTGCGTCCGTAAAGACCAACCCCAGTTCGTGGCCAGTTTGGCTTTCCTTGTCTTCAACGGAGGGCAGGGAAGTGATAGCCAAACCAGCGATAAGCAAGTGATACTCGGCATTCTCCCCAACGAAGCCGATTTTGCGAATGTCTTGGATCACCCGGGTCAGTTCGTCCGCCGTCATGGTTCGGAACCTTGCACTGGTGGATCGGATAAAGATTCGCTGCTCTTCGCTATACATGTGTTGCAGGGGAAGGGATTCCGCACACTGGATGACGGGTTGTGTGATGCTCTTCTCGGATCCTCGCCCAGCCAAAACACGTCGTCGAATGAGTCTTCTCAGGGAGGAAGCCGAGTCAACCGACTTCTCAACATAACTCTCAATCCTGGACAAGAACTTTTCAACCTCGGCGTGATCCATCGCAAGGTCTTCAAAGTCCTCTAGCGCGTCGAGGATCTTAATCAGGGTGATGGTGTCCTCCAGCTGCTGCTTCTTGCACTGTGTCTTGACAGACTTGACCTCCGCAACAACCAAGTCAAACACTTTCTTACGGCAAGCGGCAAGCTCGGTTTCATCAAAGACACCCTCAAGTGCCTTCCGATTGAGCCACAACTGAGACAGCGAGATTCTAAGATAGAAGCAATCCATGGAGTCACGGTTCAAGGACTGCAGCTTAAGTGCCTTGGCCGACACTTTGCGATACATCTTCTTGAACAAGCGCTGTCGTTCGGCGTCAGAGAGAACGAGTAACTTGGCGATAACCGCTCGGTGAAGATTTCGGTAAGCCTTCATGATCTGGAGATCGATATCACTTCCTTGCAGAGAGACCGCCTTGGCGACCGTCCAGAGAGGCTCCCAGTTGCTCGTCAGAGCCGCCGTGGACTTCGGCATCTCAGCCAACTTGGCCATCAGAGACAGCATCCCCACAGTAACCTCCGGGGTGCTACCTTCCTGTGCAATCACCTCCTGCAGTAGATCCAGCAAGATCGCTCTCTGACCACGGGTGACAAGCGGGGCAGGGATTCTCTGTAGACTTTCAATGTATAGTCGGCGATTAGGAACGTCTGCCTTGACTCGCTCAGACAGCACTGCAATAAGATCGACCGCAATAGACGGAGCATTGAGAAGGTACTCATGGCAGACGAGGCTTGCCCAAGCCTGAAGATACTTGGAATCGGGATTGACAGTTTCGAGAGTAGATGGCGACGGCTTATACTGTGAAGTTGCCAGGGACAAAACATGTGCAAAGAGAGAGCGTCTGGTTTCAGACTCCACCTGGGGCCATATATCAGGATTCCTGACCAAGCTCAAGAAATAGGCCAACGCAAGTGTGGTGGGCGACGTGAGCGTCTCAATACGTCCGTCCCAAGGAGACTTGATGGACTTGGCGGCATCTTTGCCCGAGATGGACTTTATGAGGGTCGTGACCTCGTTCGTAAACAAGCGGAATTGTTCAGGGTTTGCAGTGGTTTTGATCGCGGTAAGAGCAAACTGAAACGCCTCAAAGCACTCCAGAGGCGCACAAAGCTTTTTCATACGGCCCTGGTGAACACGCTGTATCGACTCTGCAGCCGTAGCAACAAGCTTGATAATGGCAATACCCAGTTCGTTGTCGGTAGACTGTACGTTGTTCTCCAGGAGACTGCGGCCGAGCCGCCACAGCCGCCACCGCCAATGTAACTTCTGTTCGGAAAACAATGTCGATGTCACAGTCTGGATAATGGACGTCAAATCCTCGTTCCTGTCCTCGAAGCTAAGGTCACGGTTTCTGAAGCCAGATTCCAGAATTACAATCTGCGCATAAGCGCCAGGAGAGTGTTGAATTCTACCATCTTCTCCTTTGATCTCCACTGCCGCCGCGCGCATCTGAGCAGCAGAGTGAGCGTAGGTCAGAGGGTTCCGCATTAGCTCGCTGAACTCGTTGCACACGTCATCGTCTTCCCACACAATGAAACGAGTCAATGCCTTTTCCTTATCCTTCGAGCGGGCTTCTTCAACCTCGATAAGCTGCTCGTACCATATCTGCATGAAATTTGGCAGGTCCCGGGCGCCGACAAACCCACGGAGAAGAGGTATCACAATGCCGTTCTTGATCGTCCTATAGCTATCGTCGACATGAGAAACGCCGGTGCGCCAGTGCAAAAGAATTTTCTCCAGTAGAGCGTTGAGCAACTTCTCAGAGTCGTTGAGCCCGGAATTGGGCAAGAAGATGTCGGTACCTAGTTCGATAAGTAAAGCGGTGAGGCTCCACTCCACTTGCGACAGGCCTTCCTTGAGGAGACCAGTATACGCAGCGTGAGTAAGCAATGTATGGAGGGACAGTTTGATGTCTCTAGCAAGAACCACACGAAACAGGCGTTCCAGAATGGCGACAAACTCAGTAAAGTACGCTGTCGTGTTCTCAGACTTCGCGATGGAGTACGCCAGCTCTGCGACTGCGACGAAAAGGGTTTCCAACCAAGGGCCTTCATGGTTCTGTCTTCTGAACGTGTCCCGGGGAACTGTGCGTGCTGCGATGTCGAAAAACTCCGGCAATAGCTCAGCGGTCTTCCACTTGGCTTTTTTCTGGATGCCGGCAATGTCACTGGTGCTCTGGTCTGGATTCTCTGGTGCGCAAAGGAGCGGCCTGAACGTATCCGAGACAGGCTTCACAGGACTCCAATCAGGCTCGTTGGCTGAATAGTCAATGCCGGATCCGCCTCCCTCGAAGAAGCTGGACCGGGCGGGGAGCACCACGTGCAGTGCAATGAGGCGTTCTAGTCCGTGCAGAACGTGGGCTCTTTCGTCGGTGTCCAGACGTATTGAGTTGACGCAGAATTGTAGTCTGAGGGCGCTTTGGAAGCAGTGTTTAGAGAAACATTCCTGGTGAGCAGTCAGCGTTGTGTCTGCCGGATATTAGGCTCCCCACACAACCTACATTACTTAGCCCCTTTTCCGAATCGTCACGACGAGACGACCTCAACTCCCACAGATCAAAAATGGCTGGAAGCACGTAGAGCAAATGCTGTAGGTCCGTTGTCTGCTGCGCATGGAAGAGTTGCGTCGTGATGATGGCAGCGAGCCGGAAGGACTTCTGCAGCGTGCCGGCGACCGATTCGGGCTCCCCCTTAAGAGCGTGCTTCAGATGCGAGCTCGCTACATCGTCAACCCCGGACGTCCGATCGACAAGCATAACCAGGCTATACAGACAGTCCAGCGCGCGGATGAAGGCCACAAAGCAGGAGGTTGGAGTACGGGGCGGGTCGTCGATATCCATAGCATCAGGTTCGTCCGCGCCGGACCTCTTCCTCTTGGTTCCCTTCTTATCGTAGTCGCCATTGCGGTGTGGTGAATCGGCCAAAGTGTGACTGGATTCTGAGCCGGAGTGCAGGAGCTCGGCTGTCCCATCCCCTAATCCGGCCAGCACATCCTCCTCCAGGTCGGCGATAGCATCGTGGACAATTCCGAGGAACTTCTGGTCCTTCAAGGTCGTGGCCAATGTCTTGGGCGGGATTAAATCGATCAACTGTCGTAGTAAGAGGAAGGAGGCCGCATCGACACGATAGTTCTTTCCAGTCCGCAGCCTCTTCAACAACCATCGCAGGACCCATTCCGCTTTGGGGGCAGCATTGTTCTGAAAGTGGGGGGTTCGGTTGATTTCAGGGTGACTGGCACATAGCGCGAGATCTAGGCCGATAATATTCGCAGCGTCGTTGAGCTGTGCGGTGGGAGATGCGGTGCCTTTTTCGAGACGGAGCAGAGCCTCCTGCGACGAACGCGGGCGCTGTACAAAAAAAAGGATGCGATTATTTAGCCGACTTATCTACCTATCAACAAGAAGATAATTTCAGGCGCAAAAGAACGACCTACCTCCGCGACGGAAGGCATCTCGAATTGGAGATGTGAGACAGTCAAGTAACCTGGTCGTTGGAGGATAGTTCAAATCAAGATCGCTTGTCTGACCAGGTCAGGACGAAGCAAACATCGTCCGTATGGAAGAGAAGAAGGAGGAGGAGGGGAGGAGGAGAGGAGAGGGGGTTAGGTTTTTGGATTTGGTGTTCCCGAGATTAATTCTAATTATTATTCGAGAAAAAAGTTGGACTGACGCCAGAGGGAAAAGGCGGCGTGCGGGCGGGCGCCCGGGCGGAATGCTTTCCCTTTCTTTCTTTATTAGCAGCAATTCTTAACCAGTTGGCAAGCCAGCCCCAGCCTAGTTTTTCCGACCGCCTTTCAATTCGGTAGCAGAGCTCGACGTCCGCACCCGATCTTGATCTCGTGTCTGTGTGTGTTATCCCCTCCTCTCCCAACCTTCTTTTCTCCTCCTTGATTTAGCTCTAATTCACTTTCAGGCATCCCCGCCTTTGTCTGTAATTAGGTCTGTGCCGACTGCTAGTTCTCTATATACTCATCAAGAAACACCACTAATACTCAATTGAAGCTTCTCGCAATGGCCGACTCCAACGAACCCCAGCCGGTTGTACCGGTCCCTCGCTCCACTAAGCCCGTCAGCGAGGCCCTACTGAACGAGAAGGTACGCCGACTGATGAGCACTGGCTCAATTTTCTCTTTTCTTCTCCTGCTATTCGGTCAAATCAATGCAAAGGAATCAATGATCCGGCGAAGGCGCATCTCTACCTTGGCGACTGTCCGTTGACATCATCCGGAACACCCTCATACATCGATCTCTGCGAATCAATCCTTGAACACACTAAGCTAATCTTGGGGATCTTCTCTTACGCATTACAGTGGGACCGCGCCATCTCGTCACTCATCATCCGTTCCTCCCTCGGTCTCTCCTTCGGTGTCGTCTTCTCTGTTCTGCTCTTCAAGCGGAGAGCCTGGCCCGCCTGGGTTGGTCTGGGCTTCGGTGCCGGCCGTGCTTGGGAGGAGGCTGACTGTATGTTGTTTCATCACTGAATGACCCAATGGCACGCGCACTGACTGGTTAATTTTAGCTTCCTTCCGTCGGGGTGACTCCCCCATCAGAGATGCTCTGCGTCGGTAGAGCATCCCCGACTCGGCATCTGTTACTGTATGATACCTGTATAGCTGGGAAGGAAATCAAGTCGGCGGTGAGGGCACACAGTGGTGGTGCGGTTTAGAAGGTTCTTCTAGACTTTTCTTTACTTTTAGCATGCAATTTATCGTTGGACCTGTTCGGCTTCTCGGTGCATCTACAGTAGTCAAGGACAAGACCTGGCTTGCTTCTCACGCCTGAGTTGTGTGCTCACATTTAATGTGTGTGCGCAACTCAAACATGTCATAGCCTGGCAAATTGCGCCAGCTCCTCTATCTGTCTATGTGTACTCGGAAATTTTTCAGTCCAGCTCTTGTAAGGCCTGGCTGTTGTGAGTAAGCATAGTCCACCGGTTAAGCTTAAGGATGAGTAACAGATTCACGAGAGGAGTAATGTGTGTCATTTGAAGGCATCAAAAGATCGGGGAAGCAAATACACAATTTTGTCATATACTCTATCGCCGTGTGTACGGATGGGTATCATGATCGATCATCAGTCATTGAAGGACGTTAGCGCCGGTAATATCCCAGCCCGGAGGCCCTGCATGGCAGACGGTCACGGAGGGAGTAGGATTCTGATCTTAGACCAGATTCGAACCAGAAGTGGATATTTCAAAGCATGGAGTGTGAAGGTGCAAAAATATTTTCAAAGGCGGACATCTCGGATATGCCAGGCAGTGCTCCATCAGCCGCGGGGTTTGCGGGGTTGGTATTCTCCCATTGGTGGTTATCGGATGGCATGGAAGCGATTGCGAGACCATTATGTCCACTGTGTGTGAGGCAGCCTTCGCAAGTGCAATCGTTCCCGCACTGGCAACTACCGGTTATGTCTGAGCAAGCACTCGGAAGTCCTATTGGATACTCAAGGGTATAGTACTCCGAGGGCTCCATCATATGCTGATTCGCTATGTAATTTGTGGAAGGAGTTGTGTAGCCACCGCTGAGACTGCCCGGTGTAGCAGACTGGTCGACGAAGGGATGCGTTCCCAGTGGTTGAACAAGATTATCAGATGGGTGGCTGAAGTTGGTATATGAATAGTGCAGCGGAGAAAGCATCGGCTGTTGACCCAACAAAGGAGAGTTTTGACGGCTACTTGGGCTTTCCAGACCTTGTTCTCCATCGTTCAAAGCCACCAATAGTCCCATTTCTCGTACATGTTGTCTGGTGGTGTTATTGAAGGGATGAGAAGCACAGCCAAGACATTGGCAGTTATCACCACAGTAACATTCATGAGTGGCATCATCCTCGTTGGCTGCGGCGGAAGAAAAATCGGAACGTCCCGTCAAGTCTGAGAATTGTGGCTGCTGCATCAACGCTTGGGAAAGCTCGGCATCATTGGAGGACCCGTGAAGTGGCATCTCCAAAGAAGTTGGGGTGTAGTGGGATAAATAGTCAGGAATGATTGATGAGAATGGCTGGTGGCTCTGGGAAAGAGATGATGACAAGGTATGACCTTGCTTCGCTAATTGGGAGTCATGCCAATTGGAGACTTGGTGGTTGGAGAAGGAGGAAAATGGTGTCGCGTTTCCGCTGGAGCTTGATGATTGGGATCCAACCGACTTTGCGGTTTTGATCTCTTTGGAGCATTTACTTTGGGAAGCTGTCTTAGGCTTCGCACAGCAAGAACGCTGGACTTCGGGTGCCGGCGGTGTAATTGGCTGAGGCGCGCGAGTGCAACAACTCTTAGCTTCAGGTATCGTTTTGTCAGAACTGGAAGAATTGTCGGAGACAGGGTTTGCTCCAGTGCCGTTTGATATGTCCGAGTTTTGGTTGGCTGCAAAGAACGATTTGTTGAAATCCAAATCCTGGGGATGGTACGAGATGGAGCGATTGAGAAATGCACTCTCAGTGAGTTGATTCGCAAATACTGGAATAGAATCGAGCGCCTTGGTCAAGGCTTCTGGCGCAGTTTTGATCTGCCGTTTACCGGGCTTCTGCACTTTGCTGGGTGCATTCGATGGCGCTGACGTTGAACCGACGGCCGGAGAAGAGACAGTCCCAGTAGCATCTGCGGGCACTTGATACACTGGTCTGCACAAACAACCGGAACCTGGATCATATCAGCAACCTTGTACGAGCCTTTCAAGAGGCGGGGCGACAATCTAGAATCTTGAGGCAGGCGATTGGGACCGAACTAACCTTTTGGAATGCGGATCATGAAAGCATATGTTTTCTGACAGCTACACGTGCCCTTCGGATGAGGGCATCTGGCGAGAGGTCGACCAGCTTTTGGCACTTTCATCATCATTCTGTCAAAGTGTTGACATTTGGACGACCGATGACCACGAATGCATGGCTCGCTAGTGATATGAAATCAATATTAGCGCAAGGGCGGAATCAACCCGGAGATATGCCATACCACGACCATTTGGCGCCTTCTTCATCGAGGGGCATTTTGAAGCTCAATCCTGCATTCGTCAGGCGTATATTGTAATATGAATCGAGTTCCGCTGACGGCGCGTTCGCTCCCAAGGTAGACTCAGGGACGCAGTAGTTTTACCCCGCCCAGAGGGGTCCGATCGTGCCACGGCTTCCAGTGTACTCTACTCGCGAGGCCTCGGCGCAATCTCAAGAGGGTTAGAGCCACAGGCCTATCCTCAACTCAGGACCAGAAGCAGTATCGAAAAAGGTCAAGCTGATGGCGGTGACCCTTGTGATACTATCGATCTGGTTATTCGATTGATAAGTCGTGAATGATTTTCGAGAAAGTGCGAACTGGTCGATTACTCAGGTAGCGACAGATTCCGGATATGGAGAGTTGGGAGACAATGAAGAGAACAAGCGCCGTGTGATAAGCCCAGGGCCATCGAAACTCCGCTCGTCGCGCTCTGTTGTTCTGTCGTCATCGAACTACAGCCCCGCAAGCAAGAAGGAAGATTCAAAAGAGAGGAAGATGCGGGGGAAATGCGGACGGTGGGCGCGAATGTCAAAGCGAGCAATTCTCGATCGATAAGGATAAGCCGAGACGCCCGCCGCAACCTCAGGCACTCACCCCTCCTTCGGCTTTGGCTTGAGTGCCTTGGTGCCTTAGGCGGTAATCGGCTTGGCACCGGAGTTTATTGTTTCGCAACTATTCCGAGGGCCATCGCGATGCTTTCCGTTGGATACGATTCTGATCCTCCATTTCTCGATTCGCCTCCCTTTAGGCGTAATACACCTTGCTGACTGAAGCTAAAGCTGGGGCCAGCTTACAATCTACCTGAATACTCACCAACATAGCTCATCCTCTGTTTCTTCTGTTGTTCCTCCTCCAATGACCTCGGAACGCCGTGAAGCCCCCGGCCAGGCGCCGGACAATGCCACTGCGGCGGCGCGCGCTCGAGATTTCTTCTCCGTCCCTGCACCAGTCAAGCGCATCTTCGACAAGTTCCCTCTTGTCACTTATCCTGCCAACGATCTTCCGTACTGCTCTTGGTCCAATCGACAGGGAAATCGGTTGTTTGTTTTCACAGATGCCGCCGGCGCTAGGCGTGGGAGGCCGTCTTTCAACCCTCAATGCCTCAAGTGGCAGGTAATTGCATACAACAAGCTTCCCCTCAAGTCTCGCATTGTCGCTCACGATGCTCGTCTGTGGTATTCTAGGCATACCTGCGGTTCGCCGGCATTGATTTCGATATCGTCCCATCCAGCAACCATGCATCACCCACCGGCGCCCTTCCTTTCCTCCTCCCCGCCCTGCCCGTCGGCAACAACGCCCCGATCCCTTCCAGCAAACTCCAAAAATGGGCCATTGAGCAAGTGCACTGTGAGGAGGAGCAACAATTGAACACGCGCTTCGAAGTATATGCATCGTTGCTGGACCACCGGATACGAAATGCCTGGGTATGTGTTTTTAGCGTGTGGTGACAAGCGGAGGCAGGACCCGCACGACTCCTTATGCTAACAGACGACGTTCGTTCCAGCTGTACGCCCTGTACGTTGACAGCGAAAACTTTGACGCCGTTGCGCGACGTCTTTATGTAGACGCGAGCACCACGAACCCCGCCGTCCGGGCCGCTTTGGCATTGCAGCTGCAGCAGGCTGCGCGCGCCGAGCTCCTGAAGACATCGACCTATATCGACGCTGGCGCGCTCGAAGCGGAAGTGGGCGAGGCCTTCGAGGCCCTGTCGACGCTCCTCGGGGACAGCGTGCACTTCTTCGACCGGCCCAATCCGGGCCTATTCGACGCCAGCGTCTTCGCATACACGCACCTGATCCTGGACGAGAAGATGGGCTGGAAGCGCGACCGGCTGGGACAGCTGCTGCGACGCCATGAGAACCTTGTACAACACCGCGAAAGACTGTTGAAGTTCTTCTAGAGCTGTATGACGAAAAGAAAGAAGAAACGATTTTACACCAAACCCACTCTCTGTACCATTTTAACCCCCTCTACCACCCGATCGCCGAGAAGCACGTTTACCTAGCTTACTAGACATAAATTATAGAAATTATTCTCAAGACAAGCCCTGCCCAACCTAGTCAAGCCATTTTTGTGATTATCTGTAACCCATCTTTTGCCCTCTTTCCTTGCTCCATTAACCCAGAACCCATCTACGTCCACCACTTCCCGATTCTCGTCCACCCGATTTTGCATCCACAACAATACATATACTATGTCCACTTCACTACCTACCTTATCTCATCAGCCCAGCCTCTTCCCCCCCTCCGCTCTCCCAGAATTGATATCCCCCTAACCCAGACCAGACAAACTTATCACCCACACCCAGTGATCCATACCCAGTGATCCCTCAAAAAGCAAAACCCCCAATCAACCAATAGCGTAAACAGTAAAACTGAAGCACGAATCCTCCGTACGAACCGAACAAAGTGGCACCGTGCCTAACCGTTACGTTCTCCACTTGACGGGAAAGCCCATTAGCCCCGTGTACCATCCGCAAAGGAGAAAGATAACGCATCCATCCACCATGTCCATCCCTGCCCCTGCCCCCAACAAGCCATAGGTCGTGTACAACTGCGTGAGCAATGATCCGACCTGATATTACGAGAAGTCCCTCATGTGTACACCACAACGGCACCTCTGGAAGAATAATTGGAAGAATCGTACAGTCAGCACCGAACCAATCCATACCCAACTCAGTCATCCATCTCTCTCTCTATATATATCTCGCGATGAAACCAAAAACCAACATCCCGGACGCTTAAACTCAGAAGCCTTTCGGCAAAACTGTATCTGTAGTCAGCGATGAATCAGCTTGTTCCTTGGCTTGTCGTTTACATTCATGAGTTGGTAATTACTCCGGCAAATATGTTTTGGGACGGCGGAATGTACACACTTCCAGCGGGGTTTTGCGCCGATTGGAAGAACCCATATTGGAAAACCGCTTTACTAACGGGACAGGACCTGCTTTCGAAACAACTCGAGCCGGAATGGATACTCTGGGTTCATTGTTTGGATGAGTTTGTTGGTGATTCGCGAATCTTGGTTGGGGTTAGAGGCTACTAGGTAGAGGCTGGGTGCGCGAATGGTTGTAGATCCGAGGATCCGCTACAGGGTTTACGTCCCAACACTGCGGTATAACCCCAACTTGAGGTTTAGCTGAGTTGAGCAGATACACAGTGCGGATGTGTTTGCAGGACTGAAAATTCACTAAGATGCAACGCAACGCTAGTACACTCGCAGCCCAGCATCGACTTTTCTATTCAGAAAGACTGGCTTGCAACTTCCAGCCACGTACATTATCGAGGAAGAACACGGGGCCAGTCATGCGCCCGTCAGATCAGATTCACACTAAACTAAGTATGAGGTTCTCCACCAACACTGAACTATTTGGTGGTGTTTCATGTTTCGTTCATTCGAAGCTGGGGACGCTGGGAGATCGAGCGCCGATCGCAAACATGGCACATGAAAGACATCATCATAAGCACATGCTAAACAGCCATAAAACATAGAAGAGACATGACCAGGGAATAATGAAAAAGAGGAATGGTGTTCGAAAATCCAAAGGCCGTGCCAGACGGGAAAAAAAGAACAGGGAAATGGCATAAATGGCCCTGATAGCCAAGGAGGGAAGAAGATAGGAAAAATGGACCAAGTCGCGCAAGAAGACATGACCGTCGAAGGAAAAAACCCCAATAAGGCGAGTAAGCAACCAAACCCAGCCATGATACCGTAAAAATCCATGCAAGCTCCGTCGCTGAAAACAGAACACAAGAACGCAGAAACCGATTGTCGCTCGAAAATGATGTTTAGTAGACGGTGGCGCCGAAGGGGGCGGTTTCTTTGAGATCCTCCACCAGATCCTCGACATTGTTCAAATGTCTTCCTAGTAACGCTTGCTTCTCGTCGGTGGTGCGCGTATCCCGATGTGCTTTGCCGCCGCCGTACGCCCCCGGAACATTGACACTCCTGGACACTTGCGCTGCGCCAAGCTTGCTGGGGCTGCGCTGATGACCCATGACGGCCGTGTTGGGCGCAGAATGGCTTGTCGGAATCATCGGAGTTTCTGGCATCAGGTAGAAGTAGAGGAATTCCACAAGCTTCAGCTTGACTTCGCGCGAAGTGGCCCGCTGTTTGAATAGGGAGGTCACGGTGAGTAGACCGTCGAGTTCTTCAAAGGTGCGGGTATTGGCTGGGTGGTCCAGAAGCGCTGTGACCAAGGTGAGAAGAGTCGCTGATTGGATGGCTGGGCAATTAATGGGGTCGAGCAAGTCGAGGAGTAAATTCATGTATATCTCGCGCGCGAATAACGTGCGCGAGGGCGGGTGGAGTAGAAGCACGCCTTGTATGAGGTCAAGGGTGGTAACAATAAGGGCGTCGTTGGTACCATTGCTGCCCCGCCCAAGAAGATGCTCGAGACATGTTACCAGGCGCATTGCGACTGTGGATAGCAAATCAGCATCATGGATGTTGCGACATGCATGGATGCAGGGGCGGTAGTGTTGTAGTGTTACTCACCATTCCATTGAAAGCCTTCCTGAAGCTTAAAGAATTCCCTGAAAGCCGGATCATCTTTGAGTTCGGACAGGGACTTGGGCACTGGTTGCGGAGCTCCAAAGGACAGGAGGGACCGCCGCTTGTCCGACGCCGGTCGTTTCGACTTGGACAAACAGATCTGTGCGAGGAGCCCTTCCACCTGTCGCAGACCCTTCCGGACCTTGCTTGGCTCGTATGAAGAGAGATAGTCAAACGAATGCGCCAGCAATGCCTCCATGAGTGGTGTGAACAGGGAAGGGTAAAAGGCGCAACAGAAACTCCAATAACTCTGTAGCACAGAAGGACGGGAGAAGGAAGCGGTGAGAGAAGAAGAAGAAATAAAGAAGAGAAATGAGAACCCCAAGAAGACAATGGAGGAGACGGGAAATCGAAAAATTAAATGAAAAAACAAAGCGTTTGATCAACCGACGGGTCCGTGAAGAAGAATAGACCCTTGGGCCAAGACGATCGGGTACAATTTGATGTGTAGCGTAGCGGAACGTAGCGTAGTGTAGAGATGGTCGAAGGCTAAGAGGTACGATCTTTCTAAAAATTGCCTCAAATAAGTCCAAAGGGCTTCAAAGCTGAAATACAAAATAGAATGGATCGAGTCCAGACGCTTGGAGAATGGAGCCCTTAATTAGTTCCAGAAAGCATTGGTGACGATAAAAGAAAGACGGTGGGCACGAACCGTCCGGGAAAACATGATTGTTGACGGGAGACGGTCAGCGATGCTTAGAGCCTTAGACTAAGTCAGTCACTAGGTCACTAGGTCACTTTCTTAGCCGCCAGCCTTAAGATTCCCCACATTTGACAACAACATCCCCATCGTTGTCCCGGGAACCACTTCCTCTCTACCAATGATCCGTCCAGCAGCTGTGCTTTTTCACACGGGCTCCTTGTGGTGGACTAGCGCCCAGTCTAGTGCAGTAGATAGATGATGTCAAACTGGGGGGGCTGGGGTATTGCGATTCAGCTGAGCTACGCCATTGATGAAGCGCATCCTGCGGGCGGGCTTGGGCATGGGGCTCAATTGTGACGTCTCGGTCTTGCCGATATGCAAATTGAATCATTGACAGACCGATAACCAGGCACACACATCACTGCATCACTGCATCACTACATCACAGCACCACCACTACTACTACTCCGCAGCTGTTAACTCTTGCCCTCCTGAGCAAAGTCATCCGGGCGGAACCGGGCAATTTTCTGCTCTGTACCAGCCACTCGCTTTCTAATTCTTGGGTCGTACACAATTAACAACATTAACAACACAGGATGGATGTAGTGTTACTGTGCGTGCTGTTGTCAGCGCCGCACGAAGCAAACGCCAGGCGACCGACAGGCACGCGGCAAGGTTGAGGCCCGTTCGGTCGGAGTTTCTCCCCAGTCAGAACGAGCCTGATCATGTGACTCCTCCCGTCCTGTCCGACCCGACATGTGACACTACGTCACGTTATCCCCCGCCGTAGACTTTTTGGTTATTCACTCCGCCTATTGATTGATCGCCCCCCTCCCTCTCCTCTCTTCTCCGCGGGTATGCAACAACTGCTGGATGCATGCAGCAAAAAAACTGACCCGTCTGACTGTTCGCGCAGGGGGCTAGGTTTTCTTATTTCACATTTTTCTGATCCAACCTGGCTCTCTACAAACCTACCTAACAATCAACTGACTCCGAGTCAGTATGCAGGACTTTGACTCTCGTGTTCATTTTCGCTGTCATAGAACGTCGGGGTAAAATTCCACAAGATTTAAACAGAAAAAAAAGGAGTGCTTCCCCCCCCCGCTCCTCCGCTTACTCCCACTTCATCCTCTTCAGCAACCCCCCCTAAAGTAAGCGGATACAGCAAAGCAACCTTCGTCTTAAGACGCACGGGAAAGAAGATGCCTTCCGAGCCACTTTTCCAGCCACCCCCGACCACTCTCCTCCAACCCAGTTCGAGCTCGGTCACGAATGACGATGTTTGGGTCGAAGCGGGTCCACCCAGCATGCCCAGATCTGACTTGACAGCGATCCCCGAGCAGGGTCGGGGGCTTGGATCGACAACAGCAGCCGATGGCGTCCTTTCGACGAATCCCAATTATGTGGCCCGCACGCATACCCGTAACCGGTCCAGTGTGGATGGCACCAAGTACAAGGACGGGCAATGGTCGCCGGAGAACGAGAAGATCGTGCTCGGTCCCTATGACTATATGCTTCAGCACCCGGGCAAGGACATTCGCCGACAGCTCATCAACGCCTTCAATGTATGGCTGAATGTGCCCCCGGAGAGCTTGACGATCATCACGAAGGTGGTGGCCATGCTGCACACTGCCTCTTTACTGTAAGCCTCCACCTTTCTGTACTTTCAAATCAAAAAAATCAAGAACCATCCGCGTATACAAAAACTGACCTGTGGAAAAACAATGACCCATAGAATCGACGATGTCGAAGATAACTCGGTCCTCCGCCGCGGGATCCCCGTGGCCCACAACATCTACGGCACGGCGCAGACGATCAACTCGGCCAACTACGTGTACTTCCTCGCGCTGCAGGAGGTGCAGAAGCTGCACAACCCGGCCGCCATCGACATCTACGTGCAGGAGCTGCTGAACCTGCACCGGGGGCAGGGCATGGACCTGTTCTGGCGGGAGACGCTGACCTGCCCCACCGAGGAGGAGTACCTGGAGATGGTCGGCAACAAGACGGGCGGGCTGTTCCGGCTGGCCGTGAAGCTGATGCAGGCCGAGAGCGGCGCGGGCAAGGACTGCGTGAGTCTGGTCAACGTCATGGGCCTGGTCTTCCAGATCTGCGACGATTACCTGAACCTCTCCAGCGGCACCTACACCAAGAACAAGGGCCTTTGCGAGGACCTCACCGAGGGCAAGTTCTCCTTCCCGATCATCCACAGCATCCGCGCCCGACCGGGGGATCACCAGCTGCTCAGCATTCTCAAGCAGAAGACCACCGACGAGGAGGTCAAGCGCTACGCGGTGACGTACATGGAGCGGACCGGCAGTTTTGCGCACACGCGGGACGTCGTCCGCGAACTGCGGGACAAGGCGTTGGCGCTCATCACCGAGATCGATGGCCACGGGGCCTGCGACGATGGCGCGATGGTTCGTTCGATTCTCAACAAGATCACAGAATCTACACTAGGGAAACCTCAAGAGTCCAATTAATAGGAGAGGGGAAAACTGGCAATCCTATTTCATGCCACAAACCCGACATGATCCCAGGCCGTCGAATTGGACGATGGAGTTCGGACATTCATGTGGTGGTTCAAGCAAAGAGAGATAATGGAGAAACATACATGATCTTGTGTATTTAGCAGCGCTGAATCAGAGATTGCACACGTGATAACAAATCAATTACGAAGATTTTTCTTTGTCTGCTGCCTGCGAGAGTACGGGACAGGGTAGTTGTATGGAAGAACTCATGACGACTCTTTTACCCCACTCCCTCCAATACAGAAGATCATCAAATATCCAACAACATCCAAATCTCATTCACCAGTAGCTGCCGTTGTATTAATCCAAAAACATTACTGTATCTTATATCCAAAGTCGAAATCGGGCCAATGCCCACGCCGTATATCCAGGTCGCAAGCCGATCAATCTCCTCACATAACCACACAGCAGGCCTTTTCCAGCTTGCGCAGGATTCTGGGGAGAACGGCGTTGACAACCTCTTCAAGCTCGTTCTGGTTACCCCCTTGCTGTTGCTGCTGCTGTTGTTGTGGGTATTGCTGTTGCTGCTGCGGGTATTGGTGCGATTGCTGTTGACCACCACCAGGGTACTGCTGCTGCTGTTGGTGGTGGGGTTGCTGGTAGTGATGCGCCGGCGCCTGGGACATGTCGGCCGGTCCGCCGGTCAAATTCACGTAGATGCGGCCGGCGTTTTCCTCCGTCGCATACTGTAGCCCGAGTTCGCGACAGACCTGTTCCACGCGGGGTTTAATCTTCTGCACGTGATTGGCGGAATGGTTGCCCTTTCCGACGATGCTGGGAGTTTTAAAAGACACGAAAGATTTAGCTTGTTTTTCCTTACGTCCAGTTGGCGACCACGATGCCGGTAGACCATCCGAGAAAAGAAGCGATGGGGGTTGGGGGCAATTCGCACTTACACATGTAAATGCGTCTGCCCGTGGTTTTTCGCATAGCGGATCCTCTCCTCTAGGATTTCCTCGGCCTCCTCGACGAACTGCCCATGAAGATCGATGGTGTCCGGCGCGACGCGCCCCTCGGCGTTATTCTCGCGGAAGATGAACTCGGAGGCCTGCTTGTTGTACTCCTCCATCTTGCGCCCGTGAGCTTTGCCTTGTTCCGAGAGTTCTTTGGCCCGGGCGCCATCACCGCTGGTGTATGCTTCTTGGGACTATATTTTTTTTTCCAAGTCTCAGGGATCAGTCTCCATTCGGCTGATTGTATTCAAAGGGGAGAGTGGGTTGGCGCAGAAAGTTGTGCAGGTGGTAGCGAGCGAAATCATCTAGGCAAAGGTGAAGAAGGTGAAGTACCCGTTGAAAGCATGAGTTGCGCTTGGAAGCCTCCTGGCGCGCGAGGTCGCGGAGACGGTCATATTCGGCTTCCGTGTCTTGACTTTGTTCGTGGTTGAAGGCTGTAAAGAGCGTTTGGGGAATATCACATCAGTCTGAGTGAGCGCGCGCGAAGATCGGGGTAGCGAGGGATTTCCCCGTAGGACCAGGACCCTTACCCCGATGGCCCATATGAGACATCTCGTGCATCCTGAGAGAGGCTTGGGTTGTGAGCGACTTTTCAACTTGATATGATGGGTCTAAGCCGGGTAACGAGCGACACGGGCTGTTCTTGAATAATGATTGTAACGACAGTTGTCGAACATAGAACAAGAATAGTGAAATTCCAGAGAGGCGAGTGTCGCAGCGATCGGGCGGCATTGGCGCCAGTCGATGGCCGATCTGGGATCGGAACCCTACCTTAGAAAGGTTTTTGGGCTGTATGCAGGTGGCCTAAGGCTTCTGTCCTCCGGTGATGCGGCGCAACCGACTGACCGCACCAGGTGCATCACGATCGGCTTTCAAGTCCATTTCAGATGGTGTTGAACATGTACAGTAGAAAGGAGAGAGAGAACGATGATATTTGCTTAGATGTGGCAGAGAAGCATGTCATCGCGCGGCTCTTCAATGTTTCGCTGAGAAGCACCACTACCATGGCAGTTCGTCGGCTAATCCCCGGAATGGATCTGATCGGGGCGAGCCTGTAGATGTACGAGAATACTATGTAGGCGTCGTTCTATCTTAGTGATAGGCTGATCTTAAGCATTGACAATTTGTACAAGATGGTCAATCCTAGCATTCAGTTCTGCGTACTGAGCCCGCAATAGTGTATCGAGAGAGATGGGTAGGCATCGGAGAATCCGACTTACCCTTTAAAGAAGATGCGCCAAGCGCATTGAGCCAGGCCAAGTGGAAACCAATTCAATAGTCTGGCCACCCTCCACGAGCTGAAGAAAACGACCATGCCTAGACTAGAGAGGTACCCGAAGCATTGGGATAATTGAGGATTCGCATACTCTGAGACATGCCTTTTCCTGAAGCTTGATTAATTATTTCAAGACCCTGAACATGGTGTTGCAAGGTCGATCACAGCGCGCAGCTTGCGACGAGAATGTCCAATTCCTCTGGAACCCGGAGAAACCAGATCTATTATTGTCCCACACACTGAATTGGAACGACGAAGAAGGTGACTAGTCGTCTATTAGTCCATGGTCGAACCATGGATGCCAGTGCCAGTAGGGTTCGGCGGGAGATTCATCTTGGCTCGGATTGTTGCTCCGCTTCTCCTTGGGAAAGCAGAAACATGGATGGAACATGATGGTTTGACTGTCTCTTAATCGTAGCAGGTTGAGTACAAGAGGTGGAAGTCTGGATCACAACCTTGAAGCCATTTCAAAACATGTATCAGGCGAGGAAGGAACATCTGACGATTTATCAGGGAAGGAGAGCATCTCACTCGCCCAAGCCTAGCTAGAATTAGCATCATGTCTTCTCGCCCATTTTCTCAACTCCTCGTGCGGAGAAGCGATCGACGGGGCAGTTGGGGAGTGGAGCTTACAGCATACGGTACCTCACTAAGAGAGACTAGTAATCGTCCCTCCGTATTCCATCAAGCGCCTTCAAATACCACTATCAGCAACACTCTTGCTTGAGATATTCACACAACATCTGTCAAATAAAAATTGAGCATCAGCCAACAGCCAAACGTACTTGCACTGCATGATGTCATGCATCAATGCACCAGGGGATGAAGAACCAGGGGTGAATCACAACAGTGAAACCGTCCAAACGCAACGGTTCTGGTCTGTACCTGGCGATCGGGGCGCGCAAAGTGTGGTGCCAAATCCCCACCCACTTCCTGGGTAGCGGCACCTTTTGAAACGCAGGTCTCTTTCGACTTTAGCGATCGGGCTATTCTTACCCTCTCCTGCTCGTTGCTGCCATGGCCCTTTCCAATGTACTGTGTACAGTGCTAGTCTACGTATCTGCAAAGAAATGGAGAGACCCCACACCCGCATATGCATCTGTATAGAATGGCTGCTTGCCGGGAGACGATGCACAAGTAGATTGGACTGAAAGATGTTGGTCAAGATTACTTACCTAGTAGTATTCGAATTCGGAGACCAACACTCGTGGTCAGTCGATCTGCGGTACCCGGAAATTAATCCATGCGAGTTGGTGACTAGTTATCTGATTGTTAATAATCAACAATGGCCGGGGGTTACCGTAGTCTCGTCGAGTCTCATGAGTCGGTTGCTCTTCCTTGGTCGATGGGCGACTAGTAATGCGTACTGTACTTCGTATGCATGAGAACTTACTCTTAGGTAGTAGACTAGGTCTTAGACGCCATCCAGCGGCAGCACCAGGAACACTTCCATGCAGTAGCTTGCCTTCCAGGCCTAGCCACTACTGGTCCTGCATGTTTCGCTTACTTGACTGATAGGCAGTACCGATACTAAGTTGATGAGAACTTCAATGAGATATCTCAAGATACTGCAGCCATGGAACATGTATTATATAGTGTTGGCAGGTACTTTAGGAAGCAGCATCGCGAGTCATGAGCATATCACATGAGGTATCAAAATAACACTGTCCTTATCTAGTAGGTAAACTCATAGATTACTCGAGGAAAGTGAAGAGCGGGCAAGCGGGCGGTGGAAACCTCATGGCTAAGGCCATTCATCTCTGATGGATCCTTCACAGCCGGGAAAAAAAAAGGGGAGGGTGGGAGATAGGCAGTACCATTGGTCAGCCCGGGCTCCGCACCACCGGATCCTCTTTCAATTCGACAACCAATGATAAGAGGACTTCGAACTCGCCCATCGCTATTACCAGACCAAAACCTCCACTGCCCCCTTATTGATGCAATTTTGCTGATGGTTTGAACCTTCACAATGGGTCAATTGGTGTTCCTGGTGTTCCAGAAGGAGGGAAAGTTCTCTATCTTCATCGTCTCAGTTGGAGACGCACTCCGATTGAGCACGAGGTTCCTCATCCTTCCCCTCTTCCTCCTTTCTCCTGCCCGCTTAATTCGGGGCTTGTAAGAAGGTATCCAGCGAGTATTCATCTTACCGACAGGCAAAGTTACAGACCTTTCCCTAATTTGGCCCCTCTTTTTTTCCTTTGCCCAATTTTCGCCTCTTTTCCCTCTGGCTCCAGCACTCACGTTCCTCAGTCTCCCTCTCCCTCTCCCTCTCCTCTCCAGTGTCTCGGTCTCCATCCTCTCAGGCGCCGCTCGCTCGCTCTCTCTCTCTCTTCCCCCCTTACCGGCTGAGCTTAATCTTTCTCGCTCCCGTCCTTCAGCCTCGCTCGCTTTCCTCCACCATTTTCCTTCTCTTCCTTTCTGCATTCTCAACCCCCCCTCCTCCTTCCCCCCTCCCTCCATTCATCCAATTCTCACAAGTAGATTGGGGTAGGTTGACCACAAAGCAGCTACTTGTTGATATCCGATATCACCTGCTTCTCTTTTCTTTCGACACACCTCTTATTACCTTTGAAACTTCGCTCCTACACACACACGTACCTTTGCAACAACCGACATAACTGGTGTACCAGTGTTCCACCTTCCTTTCGCCTCCTTTCCACCTAGCCTCAAAGCTTCGCGCTTATATCTGATTTTTCTCCTTGCCGCCCGTTCCTTCGCATCCGCTTCGACCTTCGAGTAATACTATCTTCGACTTGATCTATTCATCTCTTTTCTTCTTCTGGGAATTTATTAGATCAAGTTCTCGAGCAGAGTAAGCCGTTCCCCTCGTTCTTTTTGCCCTACATGAGATGTCTGTCCGCAAGTCCTCCATTGGATGCGTCAGCTGCACCTCCTTGCGTCA